AAGCAAGGTCTGAGGTAATGAAAGCAGGTAAGCTTTGAAGATCTCAACAATGATTTAAGATAAAAAATGTTTCAGATTGCTCTCCTGTTCTATCAAATTCACAGTTTAGAGCTTAACATTTAAGAGAATTCTGATAAGCTGGCATAGCAACTTACTGTTCATTCACAAGTTTAACATTTTAGATTTATTTTAGACATTATCTAAATATGTTTAAATATAAACCTACAAGTGCTTCGAATCATGCCCAAAAATCTCTGTCCAATTTATACCCAGCTCACTGGACAGATGGAAAATGCACATGTTTGAAATCCAAAATCTGTAGTTCTTGTTGGGACTCAGAAGTATGAGTTCACTTCTGCTGTTTTACAGATATCCATCACCTGCTTGGTCTATGATATAGTTTTCAGTACAGACTGGTAATACTAATATATCTAAAACTTTTATGTCATTTTGTAAGACTTGGATTTACTTCTCAGAAGTTGGAAGGACCCCAGATAAGTGCAGCTTATTCCTAAGGATTGTATTTTTTTCTCTCTCCTAGTTTTGGGACTCCTGCTCTCCCCAGTTACTAAGGATATGGGCCTAAGGGTTCCAAATAATTTCATAATTTTTTCCTTTTGTTCCTAGTTTCAGTTTGTCTAAACAGATTTCCACTTGGCTGACAGACACCTCCAAGCTTCAGTTCCTTACTACACTGCACCAAACGACTGTGAGCTCTAGACTTGCTAAAAGCTAACATGGACCAGCCCAACCAATGTGATTGTTCCCTGTTGCTACAGGGTCAGATAATCACATGCTTCTGACAAATACCCCATTGTCCAGCCTTTTTCCAGGCTTTCAGCCTTTTTGGAGCCCTGAGAATGGCGCCCCAATGCCAGATCAAAGCATTTCCCAAAGAGAATATATTGTCCCATGTTCCCTGTCCAGATAAGGCTGAAATGTTGGGTGGAAAGGAAATTCCCGGGAACAGAAGTGAGATGGCCAACTATAATGCTCATGGACATACTAGGAAAATACGTTCAGAATAGTCAATTGATAAATTTATTAAGTGAAATGGTTCTACAGGAAGATAAGATACTTGAACTTCTTTATGCAGAACCAAAGAGGTATTATGTAGGATCATAATCTGGTTGTACTCAAAGATCAGAGCTAGAGGGCATTAAGAATGACTACAGATACAGATGGCACTGCACTAGAAAAATCTGTTAGCTAATGGGTTTTAGGTCCCAATATCCTTGAACCTTTGGACAGGCAGGACTCATGATTGATTACTGTCATTACTACTTATGAATTGAGAAATATGAAGGCCTAGACTTGACTTTACAGGACCCATTTTATGGAAAGGGCCACCATCTAAGACTGCATACTGTATTCAGTTCCAGGAAGAATCTCAGGAATATGCCATGGCAACTTAAATAGATACAGGGAAGTAAAGTTTAATAGCATCCACATATTCCTGCAGACATCCCAACTGCAATTTATCGCCCTTGAAGATATCAAATAATCCTGCTGAGCAATCCAGATAATTCTGCTCAGTGGGTTGTGATTCCCCTCCAAAAGTCTAAACCAATGGTTTCAAATGTGGTTTTATGTTCAAAGTCTAGAC